CTTTCCCTAGTTCCCTTGCTTAAGCAGCATGGTGCATCGCTGCTTCCTTATCTAGGAGATAACAAGAAGGGGTGGGCCCTCCCTAGCATCTCACAGTTGCCTGGTAGAGGCAGTGGAGGTATCCTCAGTCCAGAGACTCTGGCCAGTGAAAAATATGCAAGCAGTCAAGGTTCCATTAATCAGCAGAGGCACCAGTAACAGTATAGAAACAAAAGCTCAGTGTTTCCTTCCTCACTGTCTGTTATACTTTCAGAAGTAGAGGCTTGCTTTTTAAATAGTTAATAAGTACATTGAAAGATGAGAGTGGAAGAAGAAAGATGTTTTGTTTTGACCGCCTAACATGAAAATAGTCATGATGTCGGACAGACAGTGAAGAGCATGTTAATATATCACAACCAGAGGGTGGCCCGGGTCCTTTCATACATGGGGACGTGCTTCTTCCCAAATAAGTAGAAATGATGTGCATATACAGGTGTGTTTAGAACATTAATAATGTTTGCTGATTCTTCTAGTGAATAACCATTATCAACAGTTTAATTACTTTTATAGGCCCAGGAAGAGCTAGCTTGGAAGATTGCTAAAATGATAGTCAGTGATGTTATGCAGCAGGCACAGTGTGATCAGCCGTTAGAGAAGTCCACAAAGGTAAGGATGACTTATGTTCTGATCTAGTGTGTGTAAAACTGAAGAGAATTAGATCCCAGAGACACAAAAATTTAAAAGGACATAAGGGAGCTTCTGCTTCTGCCGTTGAAGGGTTAACTGCTCTAGGAATTGCCCTCTCATTATAAACAACTAGAAAACTGACAAACTGAATGAAACAGCTATTTCCAGATATTAGACAACAGGCAGTAGAGGACTTAATCCTTGAAAGGAAGGTAACATTGAGATGATCCCTAGTTCACTTCCCGGAAGCAGTTTCCAAAGTGTAGGGAGGACAAACTGTAAACTTTCAATGAATTTTAAAGGACTGAAAGCATAGTTTCTTCTCTGACCATAAAGGAATTAAACAAGAAATCAGTAACAGAAAGATATATGGAGGGAATTCCCTGGCTGTCCTGTGGTTAGCATTCTGGGCTTTCACTGCTGAGGGCCTGGGTTCAGTCCCTGGTCGGGGAGCTAGGATCTCACAAGCTGTGTGGCACAGCCAAAAAACAATAAAAGAGAAAGAAAGATATGTGGAAAGTCCCCAAATATTTTGAAATTAAACAACATACTTCTGAGTAACCCATTAGTCAAAGAAGAAATCAAAAGGAATATTAGAAAATATTTTGGACTGAAAACACAACATAGTAGAATCTGCCCTCCCTATTCGTGGGCTCCACATCTGAAGGTTTCACATCCATGGATTCAACCAGCCACGAATCAAAAATATATTAAAAAAAAAAAAAAAATTCCCGTAAAATTCCAAAAAGCAGAACTTGAATTTGCCATGGCCTGGCAACTATTTACATAGCATTTGCATTGAATTAGGTATTATAAGTAAGCTAGAGGTGATTTCAGATACACAGGATGAGGTGTGTAGGTTATATGCAAATACTGTGCCATTTTATGTAAGGCACTTGATATATTAAAAAAAAAAAAAAATTCCCGTAAAATTCCAAAAAGCAGAACTTGAATTTGCCATGGCCTGGCAACTATTTACATAGCATTTGCATTGAATTAGGTATTATAAGTAAGCTAGAGGTGATTTCAGATACACAGGATGAGGTGTGTAGGTTATATGCAAATACTGTGCCATTTTATGTAAGGCACTTGAGCATCCTCGGATTTTGGTAATCTGCAGGGGTCCTGGAACCAATCCCCCACCATTACTAAGGGACAACTATGTTTGTGGGATACTGCTAAAGCAGTTCTTATAGGTAAATTTATAGCATTAAATATTTATATTAGAAAAGAGGAAAAGTCACAGTCTTCTAAAGAAACTAGAAAATGAGTAAATGAAACCCAAAGAAAGCAGAAAGAAGGGAGTAATAAAGATAAAGGTGAATATCGATTACTTTAGTCATTTACACTCTTCCACTTTGTTGTTGCCTCTTCTCTCACTTTGCCCTTTCATGTGACTTTGGTTTTTTTGTTTGTTTGTTTGTTTGTTTTACGGTACGCGGGCCTCTCACCGCTGTGGCCTCTCCTGTTGCGGAGCACAGGCTCCGGACGCGCAGGCCCAGCGGCCATGGCTCACGGGTCCAGCCGCTCCGCGGCATGTGGGATCCTCCTGGACCAGGGCACGAACCCGTGTCCCCTGCATCGGCAGGCGGACTCTCTGGGTTATTTTTTTAAGTACTACTTTAGGAAGGAGTGAATTGAATGGATGTGATCAATCTGCCATCTTTACCTGGAGGTCAACAACAGTAATCATTAGGAAATTCTGACTTGCCCCCAACTGAATACTCTGTTTTTCTATGGCTTCACCAGCTGTGCCCACAAGAGCCACACAAATAACCCAGGAAATTGGAGGTAGCCACTTAGCACCCCAGTTATCTCTTCAGGCAAAGACTCCCAGTTCCTCCACCAGCTTTGCTTTCTGTAACTTGAGCTGACTCACAAAAACTTCATGTGATAGGAGAACCTCTGCTCAGAACCTTTGTGAAGGTGTTAAACTCTTCTGTCTACTTTATCAGGAGTTAGGAACACTATGTTAGTTACCTGTGTTAGTTACCTATGTTCAGATGGAGGCGTGAACTTAGATTTGGGTCCAGCATCACCTTTCCTTGCCAACTTTGTAGCCAACTTTTTACTCTGTTATTACCAGAGCTTGGTTTAATTTTGAACTTTTCACTGAGCTGATTCATACCAAAGCTCTGTTTACTTTTGCAGACTCCATCCTCTTTTCTATGTAAGGGTGATAATTTTTGCCTATATTCACTGGCTCAGTCAAACCCAGAATAGCAAATAACATGATAAAGGTGTATAAAGAAGTGCAAGGTAGTTATTTTTGTGATTCCCCATTGTCATGTTGATGATCAAATGTTTGACAATATGAAAATGTTCTTTAGAAACCATTTTGGAAAGCAGATGTTTAAACTTAAGGCTTTTCATTGGAGTTGTGTGTTCAGATTTTATTACCATATGCTTTTCATTTCTAAGATACACAGGTATATTTTGCTTTTAACCTTGCTAGACCTCCTCTTTGGCTGGCCAAGATGATTGTCCTGCCTGTCCTTTAGGAATCAGCAGTGTATTGGTATGGAAAAAGCAGTGGGCTGGCAGACCTCGTTCAGTCCATTTTTAGTATGTGTGACCTTTTGCAAGTTAATTTTCTCCGGTCCCTTCATTTCCTTATCAGTAGATCAGAGAAGTTGGACAAGAAAATCTCATAAGATCCCCTGTAATTTTCATTCCATGAATGTGTGAATGTGAGAAGTCCTGCACCCACAAAGGAGTACCCAACCCCTCTTTAACCCCTGTGGATACCTCTCTGCTTTGAATCACCTACTCTACATTTGTCTATAGAAAGCACTTGGGCATTTAATGTAAATGACCTCACAGCATTACTGAATTGTTTCATGTGTTTATGTCCCATCTCACAAATAGCAGGGACCATGTCTTCTGTGATGTTTGTTTCCTCCCCAGTGCAGTGAAAAAGAGGACTCAGCCTCAGAAGCTTGGTCTTAGGAGGCCAGAAGATCAAAGCTCTCTGTTTTCTTTCTAAAGGCTTTGGCACATTCCATATTATGGCTCTGTCTTCATCTAATGAATCCCCTGTGGATGGTCACTTAGGTCGTTTGGGATCGTTCCCTGTTACAAACAATACTTTGATGAATGTGTATGTAAGTCTTTGCCCTCTCTTATGAGTATGCTTTAGAGTTAATTCCTAGAAGCAGAATTATCTGTCAAAAAGTAGATGTTTCGTTCTAATATCTGTTGCCAAAACAGAAAGATAAAAGCAAGTCTGGGTGCCAGTCCTCGTTATATAACCTTCAGGTGGGTTGCTTGGCCTCCTTAGGCTTCCATTCACTCAGCTGTAAGTGAAGATAATTAGGGCATTTTACCTCCCGTGATTGTAGTCAGGTCCTGGCTGTCATGAGCGCTGGTGTGTCGTAGGCGCTCACCAAGTGTAAGTGTTGGTGCCCTTCTTCCTTAATCTGTGATGGTAACGTGTCACCGGTTGTAGAAATGTACCTTACCTTTTTCTTTTCCTTTCTTTCATCAGCTATGACTCAAGACCTGAGATAAAGGAAATCTGCTTTTGGAAAATAGGAGAACTTTTTTCCTTTGGTTGGATTCTTCCCCACAGCCAGTGAAAATAGAGCACTGTATTTCTTCTCACTGTTGTTCCCAAGAAAGAATGGCAGACAATCCTAGACTTCCACCGTCGGCAGAGTGTTGCGTAGACACATCTGCACATGATGATCACACAGTGAAGGTGGTAGAGACAGAGTGGTGTTGTTTACATTACTAGAGAATTACTAGTTTTCCAATGGCAATAACCCATGTGTGGAAGAGTGTTACTCCACTGGGATAGGCAGGGGCCACACGCCATGGGAGATGCAGAGGCGTAGAGCCGGTATTTGATGCACCTCCCTTGGCGGTGACCCACCCCAACAGCATCAGACAGCGGGTACCAGAGGGGCCTCGCTTGGTCTCCTGAACAGGCAGGTGAGTCGGCCCCTCAGGAGCCAGGTGGTGTGGTGCCAGCAGGTGGCTTTTCTTCCGGGGAGCGGGGTCTGCACAGAGGCATTAATTTGGAAGGAAGCTAACGGGCCATGGGTCAAGCCTTGGTGACATTGTCCCTCCCCTTTGGTGACAGTGTATGGTTTTCACGTTTTAATTGCTCCCGAGACGCAGTACTCTTCAAACCAGCTCCCCCGCTGCCGGAAGGGTGAGCCTCTGCACTGCAGCAGTAGGACTTGCTCCTCCGAGGTTCTGGGCTCCGCTGACGCCACCTCCCCTCAGAGTACTTGTGGAAAGGGATGTGCAACAGCCGTCACTCCAGTTTTCCCCTGTGGTTCCTTGAACAAAATGTTTATTCCTAGATTGTAGAGTTTTTAAAGAAGGTGGGCAGGCAGGTGTGGGGACAGAGGGGCGCTCACTCTGACTCTCTCCTCCTCTTTGCTCTGCGCTGGGAAATGTGCAGGTTGTGGCCTTTTTCTTCTGTCTGTGGGGTAACGAGAGGCCCCTCCCTGCACTTCCACTTGGTCAGCTTCGGGGTCTGGACCTCGCTGCCATGGGCGGGGCCGCCCGGTCGGCCAGCACACTCCATGCAGGCGGTGCCAGCGCTGCCTCACCACACGGACTGTTGGAGGGAAAGAACGTTCTCTTAGGTGTTACTGCTTTTGCTCAGACTTTGCAAAAAATACATATATACACATATGAATATATAATTATCACCTCTGTCCTTGAGAAAGTCTTGAATGAACAGAGAATTTATTCCACTGCAATATTTGGTTGTATGGACACGCACTGTTTCATCAACAGAAGAAGCAGAAAGGCTGTGTATGAGTTTTTGGTACTATGTACCACCTCTGTTATTCTTCTAAAGTGAAGTATTCATGTACTTAAACCATATTCTATTTAATTGTGTTTGATTTTAAAATATATATATATGAATTATATTTAAAATTGTGTCAACTTTCTGCTTTCAGGGCATTTATGGCTCCTCTGTTGAGATGTGTTGATTCTTCCCAATATTTCCATTTGCTTTACAAGAACCCAGAATATGAGCCACTCCTGGACTCAGCCTTGTGTTTGGAGCGTATGGCATAGACCTGAGGTGTTATTAGATGCATATGCTGTGATTGACTCACTTTGTTCTTTTAACAGAATATTTCCATCCACTTCACTTTGCTTCAACCTTTAAATAACAGAAAAGCAATATAAAGGTCATAGAATAAACTGTGGTTTTGGGTGACTCTTGCTGCCTCTGCATTGGTTTGGAATAACATTTTCCCTAAGACTCTAGGCTATTTAAACTAGTGCTTTCAGTTAAGATACTGTCCAGTCATGTCTTTGTGTGCGTTGTGTGCTTCGGAGCTAGAGATGTCGGTAGTTGTAAGGTTCTTAAAAGGAAAAGAATAGCAAGTTTGAGACTGGGTTACTTTTTCTGCCCCGCCCACTGTAGGACACAGAAGCAAAGTGTGGCCTGAAACTGGTAGCCAGACGAGACATATGCTCTCACGGAGCTCCTTGCGCTTATTTTCAGATTCGGATTGGAATCATCTGACCTCAAGTGTCAGGCTCTGTGTGGTGTGCCCACAAAATAGGATTCCCTGGCAGGGTTTTTATAGGTGCAGTGAATCAACTGAACATCCGGCTTTATCACGATGTTGACATCAGTGCATATTGTTAAAAAAAAAAAAAAGTCAGTGAAAAGGGGTACCTTTTGTAACTGGGCGTGTCTTCATCGCTCATGTGAGATGTGATGAAAATTTAAAAAACAAGTACCAACCTAGCCCAGTGAAGGGCAGTAAAACAGGGAGCAACTTTTTGTAACCTTTTCTGCTTGGGTTTCAGCTTCAGTACAAGTTTGTAAAATGCCAGTCATTTACGTTTCTGAAGCTTTGGCTAGTTCAGTAAGCATTTGGAGGGGAAGGTCGCTCTGAATAGAAAGGTACAGACGTCTTTGTTGTTTTAAGTACTGATAGCTAAGCACTGCTGAAGCGGCGGGCACCTCTCTTGACCGTGCTGTGGGGCCTTCTGTACACAAGGACCTCGCCCCTCCCCTCCCCCGCACACCAGTTGATCGGACCAGGGTTGATCTTCTCCTGATCCAAACAGGCCCAAGAACATTCTTTATCCAAAGAATTTTGCAAAGGGCAGGAGACATCCCAGTCCCTGTCTGGGGTGATAGCACGTATGGGGCACTTGCAAGTCAGGACCCGTGAGCCGGTGCCACGTGGATGAGCAGAGATCTGTACAAGCAGAAATGACAGACACGAGAGCAAGTGGGTGAGAGCAGCTGCCTTGTAGCCTGGAGGTGGTGAAGGTTTCTGGCTCTAATCCTGCATCCTTGCCGTGGACTCCGTCAATTCCTCGGGTATCCTTAGGATGCACTTTGGCTTTTTAAAAGTCAGTCTGAAGGGAGTTTTTCCTTTGCACAACCAAAAGGGCCTTGACTACAATACTACCAGATTGATGTAATCACTAATGATCGCACGTGCTCAGCATGTTTGCAAAATACCGGTGAATTCTGGAGAATTTTTCTTCAGTAAACCTTCCTTGGTCATTTTGTGTATTCTCTCAAAATGGAATCCTAAACTCACGGAACTAAAAGACACTCCCTCATTTTTCCAGGGGGGAGTTACTCAGGCCTGGGAAAAGGGCGGGTCTTTGGCCTTTTGTCGGATGGTCACCTTCTGGACCAGGGCCTTTGCACGCTTCCCAACTTCCTTCTGAAGGATAAACACCATTCCCACTTTCAGCACCTACAATAAAACCCAGAAATAGAAGGGCATTTCTGTTAATAAGTGATAAAAACTTCAAATGAGGGAGGGCAATGATTATCACAAACTTTGTAAGTGCTGACCATTTCTACGTACTAGGCAAGGTGTCTGGCCTTTGGCTGGGGCCAGAAGCAGGAGTAAGTTCCAGCAGGACGTTCAAGGTTACAGCTTCAAAGACCCACCAGGACAGCTGCTGTGCGGGGCCCTCTGCAGATGAGCCCTGGGACGCCGCGGAGGCTTCTGCTTGGGCTGAAGAGTAGGAAGTGGGGTCCTACGCGGACTTGGGGGGTGGGTGGAAAGGGCCAGCGAAAGCCTGGAGGGCGTTTGTGACCACAGAGGAAAGCCCGTCTAACGCCTGTCACTCAGGGTTGGAGCTCTTCCCGCTTTGTGGTTCATGCCACGGGTGTTTCCTCGTCTGCTCCCTCCGCGCTGCCTGCTCTGGCTGGCGCACTGCCCGGGCACGATGGGGCACCCACGGGGCTGCTCCTCAGCTGCCCCCGAGGGAGCACTCGTGAGCCCAGGCAGGGGTGGCTGGACTCCGTCGGCGGTGGGCGGGCAGGTGCCCGAATAGAGTGGCTTCCATTCAGCCAAAGGCAGCTGCCATTTGCCAAGGAGCAAGTGAGGGTTGTGACAGTGGCGTTTCCTCGGACGCCCGACTCCCCGATCTTGAATAGCCGCCAGGCTTAGCCCGAAATGATCCCAAGCCGGCCGCCACCTCCATCCCGGTAAGGACCCCACCTGCGGGCACCTCATGGAACGGCTCGAGCTGGGCCTCTAGACCAAGCAGAGCTCCCCATCTTGGCAAAGGGCCCTTTGCGAGCTGCCGGGTTAGCAGGTGTTCGCCTACAAAGTGTTGATGGTGCAGGGACGCAGGAAGGGATAAAAAAAAAAACTCTGGGACCCCTGGAGTTTCCATTCTACCGAGGAGGTAGAGGTTGGAGCTTCATCTGAAGTGGGTGCTGGTATTTTTCACTCAAGACAGCCCTTTGTTTTTATTTTTTTAATTTTTTTTTGCGGTACGCGGGCCTCTCGCTGCTGTAGCCTTTCCCGTTGCGGAGCACAGGCTCCGGACGCGCAGGCGCAGCGCCCATGGCTCACGGGCCCAGCCGCTCAGCGGCATGTGGGATCTTCCCGGACCGGGGCACGAACCTGTGTCCCCTGCATCGGCAGGCGGACTCTCAACCACTGCGCCATCAGGGAAGCCCCAAGACAGCCCTTTGAGCCTGTGATTTAACACCCTCCCAAAGCCCTTCCTGGCCGAGGTCACCAGGTTTCGTGACCTTTTGCCCGTGCCCTTCCACGTGCCCCCAGAGGGCCGGTGGCTGTGCGGCTCCATTTCCTCGCCGTCACCTGGCTGACAGCGAGGGGTGGGCACCTTGACCCCGGGCCCTTCAGGCTGCTCTCTGATTCGGGTGGGCCTAGGAGCAGCCACAGCCCCGTGGGGCTCTCTGCAGAGCTCCGGGAAATGTGGAGCCTTAGAAGCTAGAAACAAGGGGACCAATGTAGACTTATTACACGCAGGTGATATAAAAACCCCAAGCTTGGAAAACCCAGCTCACTACTGAGCTGTTTCCAAGAGGTGATCAGCCACTCCCGAGTTCTCCTTTCATGAGAATAACCAGCACTTGTGTACTTGCCGTGCCGGCCGCTCTCTCACGTAACCCGTGTGACAACCTTCTAAGTGTGTACTTTTCCCTCGTTGTAAATGAGGAGACTGAGGCTCTGGAGGCAAAGGAATTCTCCAGCGGAATCAAGTCCAGGCAGCCATTAAAAACATTCCATTAGCTTAAAGCAGAGGTTCTTAACACTTGCGTGTGCATCAGGATCCCCCGCAGAACATGTTAAAATGGATTGCGGGGCCTCCACCCCTCCCCCCTGCCCACAGTTTCTGAGTTGGTAGGTCTGGGGTGGAGCCTGAGAATGTGCATTTTAGCAAATTCCCAGCTGCTGCTGCTCACGAGACCACACTTTTGAGAATCACGGCCTTAGAACCTCTCCTGTAAATTGGGAAACACGTTTTCATTCCCTTTTATTGGACGTGGCCACGCTACACAGAAGTGTAATTTGAGATCATTACTCATTCACTCAAGCACATAAATCCTTTATCAGTATTCAGATATTTGTCAAAGCCGAGGGGACCCAGATGCCAACCCGCTGTCTCATTGCCTGGCCAGGTCTGAGGCCGTCCAGGCAGGTGTCTCCCCCGGGGGTGCGGCTTGGAAGAGGCCCAGACCAGCCTCAGCCCCCAGTGCGTTTGCTGGGGACAGTGCACGTGTCCTCCCTTCAGGGCTGAGTCCGGGCTGGTGGGTCACACCGGGGTCCCGGTGGAAGCTTTTGCA